GAACAAATCCTAGGCACATAGATAGATATATGCAAGTTTTTGTACAGGAATGAAAGTTACTACTTAGTTATGGAATCTAGGAGAGTGCAATAGCCCATAAATAGAACATTAAAGCTTAATATATTACTGAAATCACAATTTTCTGTTAGTCATCTGGTGTGTTTCAGCCTTAGTCAAAATTTGCAAAAATGTAGAAATTTATGAAAACCTAAGAATAAAGTAAGTTTGTGGAATTTAAATAGACTTGCTTCCCTTAGAGGAGCAAGTGTCTGTCATGAGGCTCCTTCAAAGCCCCAAATCCTTACAGTATATCAATTATGCTCCAGTTTCTCCCGTGCTGTGAAGGGGCTGCCTCTCACTTTTATCAATAAGAAAGATAAATGTTTAAACAAAAGATAATGACACTTATAATAATAACTGCAATAATATTATGATAATAACTGCCAATAGTTAGCTTTTTATTGTAAAATAGGTAGAGTATGCATTCTTCTTCTTTTGAGAAAGTTTATTTTCAAATGAAGTGAATCAAAGTATAAATAAAAGTGAAAGAAAAAAGAAAAAAAGTTATTTATAGAGTGTTGGTCAGTCAGGAGTTCAATGATTGATCTTCTGTTTTTTTTTTTTCCTTTTTCCCACATTTCTCCACATAGAACCTGCCACGATGAACTGCCCTTGACAATTCTCAGCTCTCCATGGTACTAAGAACAGCTCTTGGTACATGCAAGCAACAGGCTGGATTCCTTAAGGTGCTGCTCTTACTGTTCCTGTTGCAAGATTTTGGAGGTAGTCACTGCAGACACCAACCCTAACTATTAGCCACTTTTAACATATTTGTCATTACATGTCATGGCCCTTCTTCTGTTAGCATCAGTTGTGACCAAAGAGTGCTTCCTGGAGGGGTTAAATATACAAAGAATAAAAGGTAACAAGTTCACGTAATTTGACGTTCAAAATTTTAACTCAAGATAAACTATGCCAGCAAAAGAATCTTTATAAAACTCAACAATTCAAATAAAGAAAATATTAGGAGGGGAGGGGTGGGGGGAATCTACACAGACCTACAAGTCAAAGAAGTGTATGAAAAAGAACAGTATATACATTAACATTTTTTTAAACATATATTTCATACCAAAATGCAATGGACCAGAAAGAAATCTGTCATTTCTTTTACAATAACACATAGCACCCAATGTGAAGAAAAAATGCAACAAAGTATATAACAGACACCTTAAAACAGAACCCTCTAAATATTAAAGGGTTATTTTAAGGCAGCTATTGAATATCAGTTGGGAAATTGAGTCTGAAGATGAGAGTAATAATGGAAAAAAAAGAAAAAAAAAATAGCACCAAAAGTTAGGCAACAAATACCACATTGGATTAATGATGAAAAAGGACAACAGTCTCGAAAGGAAAACTACTCAAATTACTGACTTGGTCTCGTGTAATCTATAAGGAAGAAAAAAAAAAAGTTTTTATATTTATATATATATATATATATATATATATATATATATATATATATATATATATATATATATATATATATATATATATATATATATATATAAAATGTATCTATATATATTACATACATATATATAAATAAATATTAATGAACATAATGCATTTAGCTAAATAAAAAGGATAATAATGATAATAATAATAATAATATCAATAATACAAACTACAGCAAATGCATCAGAGAAACAACAATATCAACATGGGATGCTGTGGTAGTCTTGCTTGGGGGGAGGATAGAAGTGCGAGGACACGTGGAGAGACTAGAGCATGAAGGCCGCATCCTAGCATATACACCCACTGCCCTCCTGGTCCTGTTGCTGCTCCTGTGGGGGGGGCTGAGGGCGCAGGTCGACTGCTGGAACTCAGTTAAGGAGAACAGTGAACACACAAGGTATAGCCTGTCCGATGACTACTCCATTATTTGGTCACCAACCTCCCCCTTTTTGTTATGGCACAAAATCATTGTTAAATATTCTATGATGTCAAAAAATGGTACACTAGTCCTCTGCAACATCAGTACATTATTAGTATGCCAGTCTTGTTTCTAATAGATATGGATCCAATAGGTTATCTATAAAGAAGGAAAGTAGTACTGTAAAATCTACACTATCTGTCTTGCCATCTAAACGAAATCCTTTCATGATAAGACTAGCTACAGGAAATTATGGAGAGATGGATAATACTGATGAACCATTTGCACCTTCACAATATTATTATTAGGGGATTTAAAGTTGATTTAACTGTATCATATAAAAATCTGAAACAAACAGTATTTTTTGCTCACCGTATTCTATATATTCATAATCACATGTTTATGTTTTACGTAAAAAATATATAATTTTTAAAAACTTCATATCACAGTAGGAACATCCTATGTAATTCAAACAGAAAAATATATAGTGATCATACCAAATTTTACCTTGAACAGAACTCATTGAAGCAAAAGCAGAAAAGGTATAAGTAATAATAAGAGCTTCTCCTGCTTTGAAAAGTTATTAGTTCTCATTTATACCTTTTATAGATTTTACCAATGAATGTTTTTTCTTTATACTTGAAACCAAAGTTATATTTGTATCATAACTTTAAAAAAATGTATCCCCACTTCTCAAAGTAAAAAGTATTTTTTTCCCTTAGTCATATAAATATGTAATAATAATCAATAGTGGTGGTGGTAATAATAATTAATAATAAATAATTAATAATAATAATAATAATAATTATTATTATTATAATAATAAAATACTGTAGATATTCACACTTGTTAGTGTATATTCCATCTTTCTATGAAAGCCTTTGGTATATGATATCACTAACTTTCATAATTTAACTTGGTCTGTTACAAACATATTCAATTAAACTGCATCCAGTTTCAGGAAAGAAAAACCTGGCAACTCATCCTAGACTTGAAAGTATTCTAATGCACTATCATTTCAGCCTACTCAAATTATCTGACACTTAATACTTAAACTTGCATATATTTGTAATTGTTTAGTGAATTTTGCTATATTTAATACTCTGGCAAACTGTTCTACTCTTGAATTTGAGTTTCTGGTTTTTCCTTCCTGAGACTGGACAAAGTACAGTAATCCTTTTCATAATTCCTGTTAAAAAGTTATTAACTGTGTCAGTTTAGTCATATTAAACAGGAACAGTTAAATAAACATCTGGATGGTTAATGTCTAACCTAATATTGTGTGTACAGATCAACTACCAAGGAAAATACATTACCTGTGCATGTCATTCGAGACTTGCTGCTGCCAGGCGTCTGAGTACCTCCTTTGCAAGTGCTTTGTAGTGAATGTCCCCACAAGTTTGGGGAAGCCATGCATATTATACAGTGTAGCAATCAAACACATACCATGCACAAACTGACAATGAAACGCTACTGTTGGTTTGAGATTGTATTTGGTCTCCACAACATATAAAAATAATGATTAAAGCATCAATCAAAATCCCTTCAAAGAAACCCAACTTTTAGCAAGGCATCTGCTCTCAATAAAGAGAGAGCACTGCTGGACAGCATTGGTAATGACTATGTATACAAAATGAAACTTTTCTATCCCTGCCATCACTCATGAGTGCATGGCTATCAAGACTATTAATACAAGCCACATATAGACATTACCATAAATATGAGACACCATACATACATATATATTTATATATATATACACACACAGAATGAAGAGACTGGAGTTACCACTGAAGGTCCACTATGTAGAGAATTCTAAAACTAAACAGTATTAAGTATCACTTACTATCAAAGTACTAACAACCATTCTTGCCTTCACTTGGCAATCACTGGCCAAATCATCACCGGGTTCTATGGAAATTCCAATGGGATTTTCCTACAGAGTGCAGTAGCTAGCTAATCAAATCTATACAAAAACAGAGGGTTATTACTTAAACAGAGATAGAAACAGCTGCAACAGAATTCCTATAATATGCAGTATGCAAAATTATTATATATATATATATATATATATATATATATATATATATATATATATATATATATATATATATATATATATATATATGTAAATTATAAAAACTGTCATTTAACTTTTCTTCCCTCACTAACAGTGCTTTCTGCATTACTCTGAGGTACAACTGGGGTTGGGAGGGTTGGGGGAAGGGGGGTTGTTAACCTCAAACATTACGTTAAAATACAATGGAGTATGATAAGAACAAAGCTATCATTGTAAAATGCAACAGTGCCTGGCTAACACGCAATCCCTTGCTGCTGCTTGCTGGCTGGAACGCTAAAGATACAACCTTGGCAAATCCCAACTTGCAACCCCATGGTGGTAGTGGCCCGGTGAAGCAGGCAGGTAGTATGGGCGGAAGTGCTGGGCGGTGAGGTGAGGTGGGTGGAGGTGGCAACGGTTAGAACCGATAGGGGTGTTTTTAATCCTTCTAATGCTCTTTTTATTGTTTTATTTTGCCTTTATCTTTCTTGTTTTGTTTTTGTTTTTTTTTTAATGTTTAGCAAGCGCATCCACCATCCGCTGTCCGCCCGATTTCCGCAGCATTTTCGGAGTCTCGCAGCACAACTTCGGTCACTAGAGACATCATTAAGGAAAAATAGGCACAGGCAAAAACAAAATAACAAGGAAAAAAAAAAAAACATGAGCCTAGCATTAGCGAATGCCAGTTCAACTCCACTTGCAACATACCAAGACAACTTTACATAGCAAACAAACTTGCAAATTATCACATTTCCATCTGAAAGCTACTAAGTTACATTAAGTAGACCATACCTGATTTCCAATTGTTTAATCTGATAATACTGGCAATTTTTTTCTAGGTATTTCAATGAGCTTACAATAAGAAATACAAGGACAAGGACATTTCATTTTACAGATTATAATAAATATTCTACTGCATAATGCATAATAAACAGATATAAAATTATCAAGCATTCCATCCATGCTAAAGTGGTGCTACAACTTGCTGAATCTAGAGAACACTTAGCTTGGAAATAATGGTTACAAAATCATAAGTTTTTTTTTTTTTTTAATGTTTAGCAAGCGCATCCACCATCCGCTGTCCGCCCGATTTCCGCAGCATTTTCGGAGTCTCGCAGCACAACTTCGGTCACTAGAGACATCATTAAGGAAAAATAAAAAAAAAAAAAAAAAAAAAAAAAAATCAAGTGGAGTTATAGTGGCAAACTGTTAATTGTTATGTGTTAAAAGTTTGAAAACAGTGGTGTTAAAGGTCTTAAACTTTCAAGTGCATCTATAAATTAGGGTTAATAGCCAAAGTAATCTGGCATTTGGATTAAGGAGTGAAAATTGTTAGTGAGAAGCTGGTTTACACTAATGCAAAGCTCTGCAAGTCCCATCAATGAAGAGTTTAGCCAACCAGCTCTTGGCACATGAGCCTAGCATTAGCGAATGCCAGTTCAACTCCACTTGCAACATACCAAGACAACTTTACATAGCAAACAAACTTGCAAATTATCACATTTCCATCTGAAAGCTACTAAGTTACATTAAGTAGACCATACCTGATTTCCAATTGTTTAATCTGATAATACTGGCAATTTTTTTCTAGGTATTTCAATGAGCTTACAATAAGAAATACAAGGACAAGGACATTTCAAAAAAAAAAAAAAAAAAAAAAAAAATCAAGTGGAGTTATAGTGGCAAACTGTTAATTGTTATGTGTTAAAAGTTTGAAAACAGTGGTGTTAAAGGTCTTAAACTTTCAAGTGCATCTATAAATTAGGGTTAATAGCCAAAGTAATCTGGCATTTGGATTAAGGAGTGAAAATTGTTAGTGAGAAGCTGGTTTACACTAATGCAAAGCTCTGCAAGTCCCATCAATGAAGAGTTTAGCCAACCAGCTCTTGGCACATGAGCCTAGCATTAGCGAATGCCAGTTCAACTCCACTTGCAACATACCAAGACAACTTTACATAGCAAACAAACTTGCAAATTATCACATTTCCATCTGAAAGCTACTAAGTTACATTAAGTAGACCATACCTGATTTCCAATTGTTTAATCTGATGATAATACTGGCAATTTTTTTCTAGGTATTTCAATGAGCGTACAATAAGA